TCGCACCGTAAATTGATTGCCTAGGATTTTGCTTTCCCTGTTCGGAGAAGAGACCTACCGAATAATCTGTTCGCATCAGAACACGGAGCCATCATTACCATAAAATACTACCTCCGGACATTGATGGAAGACCCCGATTCAGGGGAGCAACGGTGAACGAGAAACTGAATGGTGAACCCTTCCCAAATGAGGTCGTCAAAGCAGGTACGAACGATTTCTGAGACTCAACTCGAAGTACCAGCGAATACAACGTACATTGCCGTTGAAATCCACCCGGCTGCCAGTACCGGGTCCACGTTCGAATCGATGGACCCCCGTCCAAAATTGATCGTTCGATCCCCAAGGTAAGAGCAACCGTAATGGTACGCTGCTAAACTCATTTTAGCAGCCCTCATCATATCGCAGCTACCGTATCGGGGGTTGCCATACGAGTAACTAAAATAGCAGTTGGCTTCTCGGTGAGAAGCACGTTGACAAATTTAGCAGCGCGATAGCAGCGCGATAGCAGCGCGATAGCAGCGCGGGAGAAAGGTTTCTTTTTTGTAGAAATGTCAAAATGCTCACTACCGGTACGGACTACGGCGAGTAAATTGATAACCGCGATAGCAGCGACCGGTGTGGAGAAGAGTGACTAAACTAAAATGAGAGCGCTGTGCGCTGTTAAAATAGTCGCGCAAACGACAACGACCGTTACAGTTGCTCTAAAGATCGAGAAGGAAGACAGCCACGATGTCAACATGATCGCTATAAGCCTCGAAAATGACTAATAATTATAATTTATTATATATTTTTTAAACAAAAGAAATATATGTGTGACCTTTCAATCTAATTATAAAAACTTTAAATGTAATATTTATTTTAATTTAAATAAAAAAAAATATTATGTTGAAAATGCCGAGGGGGACGACTCTATCTACGATGCATAAAAGATTGTGTTTTGCTGTGGCTAGCTGTGAGCACGCTGAGTATATAGAAAGAAGATTGATGACGATACTAAAGATTTCCTGCAAAAAGATGATGCGCGATGCAAGTAGATGCGACAAATGAAAGAAGATTTTTCGAAGATTGATTCGCTAGTGTGAGATTTGTTGAGCATCTAAACTTGAGATTTAGATGTGTCGCCCCCCTCGCTTTATTCATAGTTTGGTGGATAGAATCTCGGGAACCAATTGAGCTGTCAAATAGCGGAACCAATCAAGCAAATCACGACCAATAACAGAAAATAGCACATCAGCTATTGTGAACAAAACTTGAACCGTTTTCTCGTGACCCAAGGGTTGCCTACGCAAACTAACACCATTTTTAGGTTGTGGAAAGTTTCCCCTATCCGATGATGCTGATAATTTACCTTTGATTGGCGAGAACATAATAAGCATCGTTTTGTTTATAAAAGTTGATAGTACACACAAAGAACAAAAATTGTTGCTATAAAAATAATGCATGATCAAATTAAAAGTTTCCCAAATTTCGTAGTTTTAACTATGAACATTTTCAAAATAAAACATATTTTTTTGGTTTAAAAGTGTTTCTTTCACTTTCAGCTTGTAATTTTAAAAGTGTATTTTTTAGAATAAAAGTCGAAAAACTGTCAAAAACCTCTTCATTGCAAAGTTTTTGACAGTACTGGACCACCGTTTCCCGCCAAATTGGACATGTGAAAAAAAAAAACGAAACCAGCAGCTAACATGAGCAGCAGCAGTTTCTTCAAGTTTCCCACATTTTCATCCGCCGGCGCACTTGTTTCTCTTCTGACGCTATCGGGTGGAAGGATCGGAAGGATATTCCAGTTACGGGATTTGGCGGTAGGTTGATGAAATTTTCGAATACTTTCGATCTTGTTTCCGATTTTACTAATTTATGTGTTTTGAGCAGTCTTGCCGGAAAGAAAGGCTACTCCCACCATCACCATCACCAACTGTATCATTTGCGTAAAATGCTTCCCATGATTCCACAATGCAGTGCATTTTCAGTCATCATCAAAAATATCTAAATATAAATAAGCGAAAATATATTAAATAAAATATGTCTATTGTTATTTTTTTTCAAAGCATATAGCAGTCAAATTAAAAATAATTCATATTTGAGATGAAAACATACATCGTTGCGATAAAAATGCCCATCTTTTAAATTAAGTCATTTCGTGAGTCTATTTAAAAAACATGGGTTTTTATATTGACAGTTCTACAATTCGATTTGAAAGTTTATACTTTTAAAAGTAAAAAACGAGTTACTTTTGAATTGAAAGTTGGCTGACTTTTGTTTTGAATGCTAAAGACTTTCTACTAAAAAGAACCAACGCAAACTTTTAATTATACCAATGGTTTTTTCAATTTAATTAACGATAATTTTTTGTGTGTACCAACAATCAATTCGAAACTAACTATTTTAAATTGGCTCACTACTTGACTAGCCTATTGGTCCCAAGCAAACGATTAACGTACCCCATTCTAGTCAAAATTCTAGTACTACACAAGGTTTGTTTTGATTCGCTATGAAAATTTGACAAATAAAATGAGGGGTTAGTGGATTTTCCTATGTTTCGAGGGGTGATCGGTTAGCTTGGGACCGAAGATAGTACCAGAGCTGAGCCAAAAAGTTGAGCACGTTTCTTCGGGACCTTCTAGTCTTAGAGTTACCTCTATGATAGTACCTTTTCAAAAATGCAAAATATTGAATTGGTTCCGCTCCGGGACGGGACTTGACAATCGAGCTTCTTACTTTTCTTAATGTTTTTGAAGAATGCCATTCGGAAAGTTGTGCGTGGTGTTTGACGGAGTTGACCAATGATGCCAGGAATGCCAAATTATTTTTTCTATTTTAATTTGGATTTTATTCGGAGTTTCTACAGCAGTTTAGCAGCTTGTACATCATTTTTGCTCAAAACAATAAAAACAACCAAAAAAAAAACAACAATATCCATCGCTTAAAACACGCAGTGCACTCAATTTTCAACTTTCCTTTGGCAAATGTAAACAATTAACAACGCCAAACAACGTAAACATTGATTCTGGCATCACTTCCAGCCAGATTGATGCTGTCAAATACGTCAAATCGACCAATCACAAACTGGCTCGGATTTGACAGCAAATTGGCTTGAAATCCCTACCCGATTGTCAAGTACCACTTTTTTATAGATTGAAATTCTATGCGCCAGACTATAAATGTACACGGAACCGAAAAATTACCCAAATTAAGTTCTTTTCACTCATATCCCATGTTTCGTTCAATGAGCTAATTTTCAGTAAACCGATTAGTTTACATTTGACTATACGGCAAAAATAATAGCTTACATATGAGTATTTTCTATCCAAAATTAAGTTCAATTGGGTTCTTTAATTTTGAAAAAATTATCGGTTTTTACATTTCATTTGAAAGAGCTTCTTTTTCTGAGCACAGCGATATTTTATTCGAACCCACGCACTTCCATCTCGATATTTAAATCAAGATTTAGAGCAAAATAATAACTTCACTGTTTGACATTAAACTGACAAACTGACAGCTCGCTCCCATACAAAGTGACACTGAGGGGCGCTAATAAGGTGAATTTTGCAAATGTAATAGTACTTATTTAAAATAGTTCCAGCGTACCAAAATTGATGACATTTTGGGTTTGGGTTCCATTTTTAATGCAGATTACGAATATGCATTTACTTCACTGCCCTTAAAGAACCCAATTGACTCAAATTTGAGAATATTTCGTATACTCACTTGTAGCTTACAGAACGATAGTTATGAGAAAATCGAATCTCTCGTTCCGTTTTTGACAAAAACAAAAGTGAGAGTGGGATGCAATACTAAAAATTATCCAAAATTAAGTAAAAAGAACTTAAATTTAGGGTAGATTTTTTTCTCTGTGTAGCGACCATACACCGAAAATAGTTTTCATGTAGCTTCCATTGGAAACACACCCGCATAAGCGCGAACCATAAATTGACCTTACCTAAAATGGTTAAAATTGTTTATAATCCCTGCTAAACTTCAACTGAAATGGTTATGGAACTTTACATGAACGTTTAATGATAAAGTTTTAACCTTAAGTATTATAGTTTTTTGGAAGTGGACCTTACAAATAATGGGTTGTTAAGAACCATTACCATTCAAAATTCTTGTTTTCTCCATACATTTTCGGAAAGAAAACTATACTAAAACCTTTTAACTTATGGTTTGAGAACATTAATGGTAATGGTTATGGTAACCAGTAAGGTCCATGAATGGTTTTGTAACATCGATCAACTTTATGTGGAATATATCGCGAATTGGTTGCCTGTAAATTACTGATTACCAATTCACGATATATTTCACGTAAAGTTGAGCGATAATACAAAACCATTAATGGACCTTACTGACTACCATAACCATAACCATTAATGTTCTCAAACCATAAATAAAAACGTTCTAATATAGTTCTCTTTCCGAAAATGTATGGAGAAAACAAGAATTTGGAATGGTAATGGTTCTTAACAACCCATTATTTGTAAGGTCCGCTTCCAAAAAATCATAATACATAAGGTTAAAATTTTATCACACAAACGTTTATGTAAAGTTCCATAACCATTTCAGTTGAAGTTTAGCAGGGATTATAAACAATTTATAACCATTATCGGTAAGGTCATGTGATGGTTCGCGTTTATGCGGGCATATGATTTTCATCCATAATCAAAATTAATGGAATTCATCTGAATTTCACATAACATTTATGCGATCACATTAATGTTATATGATTTTTCATATGAATTTCATGGACCTCATAATATTCATGTGATTTTGTGGTGGCATTTGCTGCTATGTGATCACAGGAAAGCTATGTGAAAATCACATTGATTTCATCCATTAGATATGTGATAAATTTTTTGAGTGTAGTTCACTCTCACTTGGCTTCTACTGTATTCTAGTACCACATCATTTATCGTCTACCTGTCAGAGTTGACCTATTCTTATGACCAGGTAGAAAGCGTTCATCCTGATTTGGCGTTTAATAAAATTCATTCTGCGTTTTTCTCTAACCGCGAGAAGACGCGTGTTAACTTTTTTTCAATCCTGAAAAATTCTCCAATTCCCGGCAATCCGTTTTAAAAGTGATTTAATCCATCGTTTTTTCTGTGCAGTTTATCAAGTGTGACGAGAACCAGTAGATAATGGCTGACCGTAAGTACTACTTCCCGCTGAAATCCCTTTTGCCAAAATTCGCATCTCGCGGCTTGCACCGCAGTCCTCCATCTTGAAAAATGCCACAAAAGGAAAATCCTATCGATTCATCCTCTTCTCGTGCGCAGAATATTCCGGCTACGGTGGTCCGCAAGATTTCGGCGGTTCGATGCAATTTTCGGTACCTCCCCCGCCGCTTTCGTCGGGCAATTTTAGCCAACCACCACCGATGGGCGGTGGTGGAGGCGGCGGCGGCGCCGGTGGCTACAGTGCTCCTCCTCCTTCGGCTGGCGGTTATGGCGGTCAGCCACCGAGCTCAGCAATCGGAAGCGGCGGCTACGGAGCGCAAAATGGTGAGAGCCCCTCTTTTCTAACCTCACTTTCGTTTTACTACTACTACTGCTGCTGTACGACCTTGACGCGTTTGTTATTGTTTGTGCGAATCGGAGAAGGATATTAATTTGATTGGTGATGCATTTTTTCCCGTCTCGTTGTGTTTCCTTGCAGAATACAAATCCGGTGGTCGCGATGGCGGCTACGGCGGTGGAAACCGTGACGGCGGCTATGGCGGTGGAAGCCGCGGCGGTGCTGGTGGCTACGGAAACGGTGGATCTCGAGGTGGTAACCAATCAGGTGGCTACAGGTGAGGAACCGATTCCTTGTCTGATTTTTTAAAGACGACCTTGTTCACGCAATCACATACAGACACACAACAGTTGCTCATCTCTGTTCCTCTTTAAAATGTCCCCCATCCTCTATCCCTGAAGTTCGTGGTATCAACGTGGAATGCATGTTAAATTGTGCGAAGTAAACTGGCAAACAATTACATATCACTCAATTTTAAACATTTATTAGGGACAGGTAATTGATTTTGCTTTAACTTCCTCCTCCTGTCAGTTTACTTCTGCTTACTTTACTGTCGGTTTTACCAGAAAATTGTCTTTTCCTGCTGAACGAACTACCTATCACTATCCCAAAATCATCAACGCCCTCCTAGCTTTCCTTCTTTTTTTCCAAACGGTAGAAACAACATATCAGTTGATTCTAGAGATGTTCGTTAAAAACTGTAACAATCTACATGTTAACATGTCAGAGTATTTTTAAACCAAATATTTGCAACTTCTCCTCCAAATGTATGTGTGTTTAATCGTCCATCTTCCGACCAAATGAACAAATCTACTGAAAAAAAAAAATCACAAAATGTGTAACGCAATGGTTTGGTTTCGTGTGTTATAGCAGTGGCGCCGGCAACAAGGGTGGTTATAATAACAAAGGTAAACACCGATCGACTGTTCGGTGATAAACTATCTATATTTTTATTTACTACATTTTTTCGCTGTACTTTCACTTAAACAAAAAGAATGAAGATAACTTTCGTCGAAATGAGGTCCTATTTTGCGTGTAAATGACAGTGTAGAGTTTGAGTTAAGAGTGTTGTAATGCTTAAATATCGCCGTATGGATCTTGATTACGAATACAGAGTCGAAGAAGAAAAAAAGGTTTCCCTGGTTGAGTGTACAAAATAGGTCCATGTCAAGAACGATTCGGCCGTCAGTAATAAGAGTTTTTAAGGTCACATGCGTTAAAGAAATCAAGCTTTTATTTTTTTTTTTGTAAAGTTAAGATAGAGGTTTTTGGTTTGATCGAATTGTATTTGGTAATGATGAAAGCTTGGTGTAACAACTTGAAAACAGTGTATTGCAAAGGATACTTCCAGAGCTCCGTCAATTGTCTAATTTTTGTAATCCAGAGTTGTAAATGTAAGAAGTAAGAAAGGCGTATAATGTTAAGATTGGGGTACAAACACAATGAGTTTGCATCTGGTTATTATTGTGCGTTGCATCGAGAATGTATCGTCGGTACAGGCAGACCACTCATCTGTAGATGAGACATTCGTGATCATCATGAGTACAAGTTGGATCGAATGATTAATGTGTGAAAATCGCAGATAAGGTGGAGGTGAAAATTTTATCGGATTTTCCGATAATCTTCAAATTGGCATCACTTAAAAGTTGCGGGAATTAACAGGTAGATGTTACTGGATTTTGTAGTAATGATAAAGTGAATTGGCGATAGACTATAGATATATATTTCGATTAATTTGAGTCATTAAATGATTGCATTCATTAAAAATTGAAATTCTCTCATATTCTGCAATTTTATTTTTTAATTTATAAATGAGCGTTGATCTATAAAAAATATAAAACTTACGCTTGAAAACATAAAGAGACCTGTGAATTCCATCTCTTTCAACAACGATGAATGCGCACTTTCTTCCATCGCCATTTTTGAATTATAAATACGGCGAGAAAATTTGCATGCCATGAAATCACGAAAAACTGAAGTGAATTTCACTTAACCTTTACGAGCAAGACATGTGGACTGTACCAGTGAATCCAGTGGAATTCATTACCATGTCATTGAAGTCATATTATAAAGAGGTTACCTGAATTTTCAGGTAAAAATTACCTTTCTCGTTGGTTTAATGTATAATGTCAAAAAATGATCTAGGAAAATTTTTAAGCTCTCAACGTTTCCGGGGAACTTTGAGATTTGGGCGTAATTGCTTTTGTAAACAAACAAGTCAAACGCCGATTTCTCACGAATCTAACGAACGACAAATCATTCCTCTACCTGTTAGTGTGGTTAATTTTCGAGATTGAGCTTTGATTCGCGAGAAACCGGCGATTGCCGTGTTTGTTTACAAAATCAATTACACCCAAATCTCAAAGTTCTCCGGATTTGTTCAAAGGCCAGAAATTTTAATAATCTTTCGTATCCATCCAAACATCGAGAAAAAAAAAATCATGTCACAGATCTTTGAGTTCCTTTTACAGTCCATTAAATTGTAATGTATTTTTTTCCATACTAATATTCCGGTAAACAAAAACAAAAAATCTAAGTGCAGGTCTTAGATTTTTTTTAAACTCTAAAGTGTATTCCTAAATCTCTAAATTTTCGCGATCGAGATTTTAAGTCCAAGACGCATTCAATTTTGTTTTATGTCCGTGATCATTTCATCTGGGAAAATTTCCTCACGCCATTGGCGTCTTGCAGTGAAACTTTTCCAAGCTTTCGCCACCTACATTTCGAAGTGAGAACTACTGGAAGGAGGATATTTTCCAAGTAAAACAGACGCTTTTTGGGGCAAATCGGTCCATAAAGAAAAACTAATAATTTCCCGTGGAAACTTTTGCTTGAATCGTGTAAGAAAACGTGTTTGCAAACTGTAATTATTTCGGTATGGATCGGAGATGTTTTCATGGAAAATTATGCATAACAAGTTTGCACCCACAGGAAGAGGTTACTTCCTGCTGCATTTTACGGAAAATGGTAAATATGTACGATTTCCACTAAGATGAAAGTGGAAATTAAGTGAACTTACTTAGGAAAGATTGTATCATGCTGGTGATAATGGAGAAATGGTTGTATAGGACGCCAATATTCAATAAATGTTCATTTTGGCCTTTTTAGGCAAACATATTGATACTCACAATTTTCGACGGAAAACGCAACGGAACTTGATTTACTCAACACACACCAAGCTACAAAATGGTGCTAGATGGTTTTCTAAGTGATAAGAAGATGACCAATCATCTTTATTTTGAGTAATTGAGCAATTTACTTCTGTTTACATTACATTTACGATGCAGCGTTGATGGAGCTGTGAAATGAAATGAATATATCTTATGAAAGTTTATCTGGAAAAGTCAAAGATACACGTCAGTCTGATCGTGAAAACGTTTTCTTCTTCACATCGAATGTTATATTGGGAGGATTTTACGCAGGCTTGATGAAAAGTAGGATTTAAAGCTAATTTTCACGAATTTTATATGCAGTCTGTCAACATTATTATCATCATGCAGCGGTGACACATACATTGAGCTTTTACGGCAATCTTCCAATAATAATGAGATTTTTTCTTAAACTGCGATCTAGAAAAGTTGTCCCAGAGTTAAGGCCCACGCACATTAGATCCGGATCGGACGCGTTGCGGCAAAGTGACAGCTAAATCTATTGTCTAACTGTCAAATTTACGTCAACGCAAAGCACGGATCTAATGTGCGTGGCCCTTTATGATTCTTTTTCTATTTTTTTTTTTTTTTTTTTAATAATTCGTTTATTTTTCCAGGCTCATTTGCTGTAGCTTTGCGGAGCCGATATTCATTGTTTAGATAACAAAATTACTTAAAACTAACGTTAGTAAAGCGGGGGCCGATTACTCGCGGCTATCTCGAGGTTAGGGGTAACAAATTGTAACAAATGGATGGCAGGGTAGGGATTGTGAACACAAGGTTTGGAGAGCAATGTGCTCTTGATCTCGAACTAGGCGACACTCTGATGAAAAAGACAAACATGGGGGTACACCGATGGGTAGCTAACAACTTGGGAGAACACAAGATGACACTAACTTCTAAATCCTCAAATCTATCCGTTTTAAAAACACATAAATTAAATTCAAATAGTCAAGGTCTCGGCTCGCCAAGACATCTCTAACGGGTATCGCGGGTTGTTTTCCTCGGGCCCTGAGGGATGTGGATAACTCAGATCTGGCAACACGGTGTAAGGTACACGACCAAACAACATGCTCGATATCGTGATAACCACTGCCACACGCACATAAATTGCTGCCTGAGAGCCCAATTCGATAGAAGTGCGAGTCTAACGAGCAGTGATTGGACATAAGCCTTGAAATAACGCGTATAAAGTCGCGGCTCATGTCCAACCCTTTGAACCATGGTTTGTTCGACACCTGTGGGAGAATAGAATGTAACCATCTTCCCAATTCACCATCATTCCATTTTTGTTGCCAACTGATGAGGACTTGCTGGCGAGCAATGGAGAAAAATTCGTTGAAGGCGATTTGTCGCTCAAAAATATCGCCTTCCATAGCGCCCACCTTAGCCAATGAGTCCGCTTTCTCATTACCCGGAATTGAGCAATGAGATGGGACCCAAGCTAAGGTGATAGTATAGGAGCAGTTAGATAAAGCACTCAGTTTAGATCGTATTTCAGGCAGGAAATACGAGGAGTGCTTCATCGGCCTCATTGAACGAATAGCCTCCAATGAGCTAAGACTATCCGTAAAAATGAAATAATGGTCAGAAGGTAGTGAGGCAATTCGCTCTACTGCGTAAAATATAGCTGCGAGTTCCGCAACGTATACGGAGCATGGTTTCTGCAGTTTATAGGAGGCGCTATGAAATTGATTAAATACACCAAATCCAGTGGAAGCATTTATGGTTGACCCATCTGTGAAAAATCTTTTATCGTTACTTACATGGTGGTACTTGATTGCAAAAATTGAGGGAACAACCATCGACCGATGGTGATCTGGTATTCCATGGATTTCTTGCATCATGGTCAGATCAAAATTTACAGAGGAACTATAGAAGGTTTGGAAGCAATCACGATTGGAGATTAATGAAGAAGGACCAACCTCCAGCGTCATGTACTCATAGTACAAACTCATGAATCTTGTTTGAGGATTTTGGTCGAGCAGCTTCTCAAACTGTTCTATTACCAAAGGATTCAATACTTCACAACGGATGAGGAACCGGAAAGACAGCTCAGCGAAACGATCTGTCAGTGGGAGAACACCCGCGAGTACTTCGAGGCTCATCGTATGCGTCGAGTGCATACAGCCAAGCGCGATTCGGAGGCAACGGTATTGAACTCGTTGCAGCTTCAAGATATGTGTTTTCGCCGCGGATTGAAAGCAGAAGCTACCGTACTCTAGAACCGACAAGATGGTTGTTCGATACAACCTGATAAGATCTTCCGGGTGTGCTCCCCACCAAGTTCCGGTAATTGTACGAAGAAAATTGATTCTTTGTTGGCATTTTTGTTTTAGATACGCAATATGTTTTCCCCATGTGCATTTGGAATCGAACCAGACACCTAAATACTTGAAAGATATACTTTGAGTGATTGTTCTACCCTTTAGTTGAAGCTGTAACTGTGCAGGATGATGCTTCCTAGAAAAAACAACCAACTCAGTTTTCTCCGGAGAGAATTCGATACCCAGCTTCATAGCCCAAGTAGACAAATTGTCTAAGGTATCTTGCAATGGTCCTTGCAGGTCCGGTGCACTTGGCCCTATAACGGACACAACGCCGTCATCTGCAAGCTGCCTTAGCGAGCAATTTTCATCAAGACAACCATCAATGTCTTTAACGTAAAAATTATAAAGAAGGGGGCTTAAACATGAGCCCTGGGGGAGACCCATGTAACTAATTCGTGAAGTTGTCGAGTTTCCATGAGAAAAGCTCAT